CTGGGATCCAGGAAGAGAGCCTTCTCTGCTGTTCCTGTACCTTTGGAATATGGTCCCACAAAAATTGAGGCAGCCTCCAATCTCCTGGTCTTTTAGAAAGGTTTGCAAACATGGCTGTACTGTTTTAATTGGGACTTAGAAAGGAGCACACAGCCATAGGGCTGGTTGATGCCTTGATGGCCCTTTCCTTGCCTTTTAATTAACTTTTAATGTTAAATTTTAACTATCATTGTCTCTTACTTAAATTTTATATACAGTTTTAATGTTTCAATATTTCATTTGTACACCACCCAGAGTCCCTTCCAACTCTGTTATTCTGTTATCCCTGTCTGGGCAGTTTCTAATTTGATAACTAACAAGCTAACTAATAGATGTGAGATGGAGAAAGGAAGGGAATGGTGGAATATAATATCAGGGTTAGAATGGGATTCAAATTCTTATAAAATCCACTTTGGTTTTTTTCCGCATTAATTTTTTTTGTAAGAAAGAAAGAAACAAACTGTCTTCTGTCTTTTTTAATAAGTTAATTCCCCTCTTTAACTAAGAAATACAGAGAAATGAGGCTCATCAAAAACATATTTGGAAGAAAGCTTTTAGATGCTTTGATAATTTATTTAGAAAATTTATCAGCTAATGTACGCTTTTCCACTTTGCATGTGAGCAGGCATGAACTCAGATGAGTTGATCAAAGCCAAGCCTTCATTATTAGGAAGATAAGCTGATCCTTGATGGTTTATTGCATCTATGCATTTGAAAAAAAAACAGTTTTCCCTGGTGAGAGAAAAGAACTGTCACTGTCAGCTATACTTGATGTTCCTTCCATGGTCCAAAACTGAACACTAGCTTTAAATTAATCCATCTTCCACTCCTCTGTTTTTGAACAACCTGGAAGCAGATTTGGTTCAGAACTGTTCCAAAGCTGTATTCCAAACTTCCAGTTCCAATCATCCCCTGCTGAGTGTTTCAAAAGTGTTGGTCTACAGCATGTTTCCAATCAGTATGACAATGGCTGTCCTCATGTGATTCTTATAAGAGATGCATGGGCATTGCTCTTCAATCTTCTTTTTCTTACAGAACTCTAACTCTAAGTCATAGTTTACATCCCATACACGGTTTTGCTTTCTCAAGTTAGGAAGTCTTCAATCTCATTCATCAGGCCAAGGTTAAAGTCATCTGCCCTACTGTCATCATCACTGGTGAAATGAGTTATATTCAGGACTTTTGAAAGGGATGCACTCTATGGTTCTGTAGAGGCCTGGGAAGGGAAGGAACTCAGAAAACACAAAGAGGTTGTGAAAGAGAAAGTATGTGTGGAGGGAGGGGGGGAGGAAGGAAACCTTGAGAAGGAGGCCTTTCTTGACAGGAAGAGAAGAGGAATTAAGCCAGAGATGTCGGCGAAGGCCTGAAATTAGACCTCTCCAGCCAGAAAGAAGTCGACAAGGACAGAAAAAGGTACACAAGCTTAGGGAATGTTCTGGGTGGGCAGTCCAAAAAAGGAAGAGAAGTGAACCTTCTCCATGCATTGTGTCTCTCATCCCAGATTGGCTGTGACTGCAGCCAAAAGGTCCATTCTGTCCGCCGTGTTGAAGAGTATCAAAATGAGTGACTTTTGGACCACCTTAGCTAGTCTAGTGGTTACACTCAGTGCCGTGGGGTTCAAGTCTGTCTACAGTTTCCCATAGTGGGAAGAAGTCAGCTGGGGGAATCTCCTGCCCTCTCACTCCTGTCCTCTTGTCTGCCCCACCCCACCCCAATTACATTTCACTGGCCCATTGGGCCAGTAGGAAGTAAAGGAGGACAAGTGGGTGGTGTCTGTACACCACGCAGGGAGTCTAAAAGGTGTGCAGTGAACAGTCCACCGAAACTATCAGCAGGAGGGATTGAGGAGGCAAGGAGTAACACACTAATATCTCTGATCCCAAATATGGCTTTTCCAAAATGTAAATGTTTGTTTCTATTAAATTTGTCCTGGTTAGGTAGGTTCTCTGAAAAGTTCTCAAGATCTTTAATAAGATGGACTTCTTAATTCAGATGATACTTATCTTTCACTTTGGGTGCCTGTATTAATCCTATTAATATTTGTAGTAATTGAA